TGCAGGCAAAACTAGCCTGCAGTGCAGGTGTCTTAATATGGTGAATTAATGTTAAGAAGCTCACGATTGTTTATTCAACTGGCCATGTTTGATTTGGAGATAAAGGCAGTGGTGAGGGGAGGGGACAGGGAAAAGCAAAATATTCAGTCTCCCACCTGTCTCCTTATTTTTCACTGTTGCTCAGCCCCATGGTTATAATTTCTTTCTCTCCTCCTTCCATTGCCATTAGAGTCAAAGATAGTTTTGATAGTTGTTGCAAGGAAAATACTGAGCCCTCGCATGCCAAAATTCCACCTGCTCTGCAGGCTAAGGCAAAACCAAAGCTATCACTATGGGGAGATCGGAGGGTTGTCGACTGCACATGGTGTCCATTTATGCCACAGAGAAATAAATGGGATAAAATGAACCCGTGTAAACCAAAACAGTGAGGAATCATGAAGAAAAATCTCCCCTGTGGATAAGCAAGTGCACAGAAACTTTAAACCTAAATTACAAGAGAATTTGGGGCCATTTGTAATTGATAGCCTGCAGTTAGAATGATGTTCCTCTGTCTGTCACTTACTCAAGCAGAATGTTGTACAGCTTTGCACTAACAAAATAATGCATCTTCATTTGACAGTGGAATTTTCCTGTTGCCATGATCACACGAAAGGCTGCTGCAGCACTGGCTGCTGGATGCACAGTAATAATTAAACCATCAGAAGAAACTCCTTACTGTGCCCTGGCTCTACAGAAGGTACAAGTATTAACTTTTTCTCTAAATTACACTTTGGTTCCTTTAAGTCAAACACTGTTTCATACTTTCTCTCTCATGGGAACTCCGCTTAACCCTATAACCCCTAAGAGTGACTAACATCTAATTTCTCCTTACAATATCACCTCTGAATCAAAGATTCAGGTAAAGAGAATAAATGAGATGGTCACCAACCAGAGAAGCTCTGGATTATAAAACAAATTCTCCTCAACAGCACCTTAAGGAATGTATAGGGAACAGTATGGAGAATTTACATACTGATATTAGGGTGGAAAGGGTTAAATTTGCAGGATGACTGAAACCACTTTCCAGGCTCCAGGTTTGACAAATCCTTTTGTTTACTTTTTCTGATAAGTGACAATCAACAAGAATGTACAAACTCCTTGCATTAGTCAGACTTCACAAAGATCTGCTTTAACCCACTGTAAGGATTAAAGTACTACTCCTGAGATCTATCACCAAAAAAGGAATTCTCCCATATAGCCAGAGTTCTCCCTTATTTTAAGCATGACAGGTAAAATAAATTTTCAAACCGGTAAAGCAATCCTTTTACCTGGATTTTCAAGAATTCCAAGCAATTTTAAACGGTTATAAGAGGTACTACTGGCAGAAAATGTTACCAGTTACTGCCTGAAAAGGAGAACACTGTATAGCTACAACTTAAAAATTTCTTCATAGAAAAACCTTAAGAGTGACTAGAATGTAATTTCTCCTTACAATATCACCCCTGAATTGCATATTAAGGTCATGAGAATGATACAAATGATCACCAACTTGAGAAGCACTTGATTGTTAGACAAGTTCTCCTTGTTGCTCCTGTGGGGTTCTGGCCCAGAGGCTGTAACCCGAGGGGGCACTATAGAATCCCCTGCACAAAGGGAGGAATAAGAAATAATGTATTATAGATAGAGTAGGTGGGGAAAAAAAAATCTTGATTTGAGAATGGAATGTGGTGTACAAAATGGGCCTGTCGTAGGTCCTCTTTGTGCCACATGTGTTGACACCAAATCAATCAGCCAAAGACTTCGCATCAGGGCTTGTGTTCCACATCAGATTGTAAGCAGTCAAAACAATTCGTAACAGTGTTTTGGGTGAACCTGAATTCAAATTTCTTTTTTAGTTGTCCGACAATGCTTCATATAAACTCTAAGTAGAAGTTTTAAGATAAAAATTTGAGTGTTAAAAAAAGGCAGTGGGAAAGTTTTAGTGACACTTATTACTAGTGAGCACCTTAGGAAATGCATAGAGTGCAGGATGGAGAATTTGCATACTGATGCTAGGGTGTTAAGGGTTAATAACAAGATGTTATGTGTCAATTTCTTCTGAGATTTAAAGGGTTTATTATTTTTCGTTCTCAGCTGGCTGAAGATGCAGGTTTTCCCCCTGGGGTGGTCAATACAATTCCTTGTTCCCGAGACAATGTGAATCAGGTCACAGATGCACTTCTTGGTAATGACATTGTGGCAAAAATGTCATTTACTGGCTCTACTGCAACTGGAAAGGTATGATAATGCAGCTTAACTCTACAAGATCTTGCACTTTATTGAGAAAACGAGACTGTGAGCTGGTTCAGTTCTGAAGAGGCTTTTGACTCCAGAACCAGATTTTGAGGAAAATGTTATGATTGTCTTTAAATTGGCATCTTTTCCATTCCAAAAGGTAATTCTTGCACCAGCTATTGCTATCTTCAAAAGATCTTATGACAAACAAGATATACCCCCATTGATCTCTTGTCATGGTTTAATTCAAATTTCTAATTTCCTCACAACTCTTTCTTTGAAGGGTCTTCTTCCCCAAACTGTGTTCTTGATGGCAGAATGAAGACAGACACTAGGGAAAAGGTTATTCCTTGTCCCTGTCAAAGACAAGAGAAGTCACACTACCCACCCCACCCCCCATTACTGTCTGAGAAATGTGCACATACCTGCCAACACCTGCATGTTTTTTTTTTT